GTGATCCGTCATTTCACCACGATTACAATAATTATGTCCCTATGAGAAGGTCAGCAAAAATGACCTCGAAGGAGGAAACAGAGTGGCAGAAATGATGGAGGCCCGGGGGCTGAGCAGGGAAGGTGCTGGATCCATGTGCGAACCTCCCTCAGCAGGTGGGGGTCTGGGTGTTTTCACGTGACCCACATACGTGATTTGGCAAGTACCCTAAAATATTTTTTGAATGCCAAAGAGAGAATTTCCTGGACATGTCTGGGAAAACTTTTAACGTTTTTCTGGAAGTGTCCAGTTTCTAGGGGAGGAAGTTGATTCTTCAATGAGCAGATTCAGGTGACTGGACATTTTGAATAATAGAATGACCATCAATACACATTTGAAGACCTCAAGACTGGGCAAAAAATGAAAGCATTTACAGCGACTGGGCTGTGTTAGTGTCTCAAAGAACTCATGCTCTAGGGAGAGTGGTGGGGAGGGGGCTGGGAAGAAGGTGCCCCCCACAAGGTCCCGAGTCCTGCTGAGAGTCAGATGGCACCTTGACCCCCGAATCAACATCTGTGCTGAGCCAAGGTTATCACACCCACCTGATATGAGGCTTTGCGTGATGATGTCACACACCGTACATCTCCCTGAGAATCGAGACCCCACCCACTTTGCAGGTAATGAGACTCAGAAACAGACCCTGACCCCACTGCCCGTGTGAACCAGACCAGAAAGAGGGCCATGTCAGAGCCTAGGTCCATCCATCACCCACAGGGTCTGCCACGCCCCGACGTTCAGAGGCTGGGAAAGGGTGTCCAGCCCCACAGACCCCACCCCAGCGAGCCTCCTTCCTCGGGTGGTGGGTCCCTGCCACACTTAAAAGAACGACTGGACTGTCATACAGAGTGAAGTAAATCCGCAAGAGAAAAACAAATACCATATTATTAGATATGGAATCTAAAAAAAAAAAAAGGTTCTGATGAACCTAGGGGCAGGACAGGAGTAAAGATGACTTGAGGACACAGGGAGGGGGAAGGGTAAGCTGGGACAAAGTGAGAGAGTGGCGTGGACATATATACACTACCAAATGGAAAACAGATAACTAGTGGGAAGCAGCTGCATAGCACAGGGAGATCAGCTGATCAGCTCGGTGCTTTGTGACCACCTAGAGGGGTGGGATAGGGAGGGTGGGAGGGAGACGCAAGAGGGAGGGGATATAGGGATATATGTATACATATAACTGATTTACTTTGTTATACAGCAGAAACTAACACAACATGGTAAAGCAATTATACTCCAATAAAGATGTTAAAAGAAAAAAAAAAAGAACAACTGGAGAGATGGCAGCACGGTCACCTGCTGCACGCTTGGGAGCTGCAGTTGTCCGGCCGTAACCATGGGTCATGGTCTCACTGAAGGCCACCACTGCTGCCTCTCGGGCGGGCCCCAGTCAGGGGCTGCACCCCTGGAACGCCCCACAGAGACGTGCCCAGGAGGCCATCAGGGAAACATTTCTTGAGTGAATGAACAGATCACAAGTGAAGGTTGATACTGACCTGAGTTTGGGCCATGGACTCCCTCACTATGCACTCTGCATGGACCTATGGGGTGGGGCAGGCAGCTCTGTAGGAAGCGCCCGCATCGCCGCCCCGCCATACGCAGCAGAGGCGAGGCCCAGAGCGTGCACCTCAAGGGTACACTGAGCTGTGCTGTGTGGCCTCTGTCATTGCTGAGCCCCGTCCCTCTGCCACCTGTGCCCCATTCCTCTGCCTTCCTGGGGCTGTGGAAGGTACTCGGGCAGGACGGTGGGGCCGTCACCCAGGTGTGGGGACAGGCAGCTTTGCCGTCTGACCCCAGTGGGTCTGGTCCTGCACCCTGCCTTCCAGCCGGCATTCTGGTGTTGGGGGTACTGTGAATGCTGGGAGGTGCCCAGCTTCTCTCGGACACCATGACGCCCGTCTCCCTTACCACTATGGGTGGGGGCACTGCTGTGGCCCCTTCCTGGGTTTAACTGGCAGTAAGGCTCACTGGGAAGTGCCCCCACAGCCATCCATGGACTAACACACCCCAAGGTTCTCTGACTGCCTGGGATCCTGCAGGGTTTCTCTGTCCCTGCCAGGCCCTAGGACGTGAAGCGGGGCAGGCGGTCACTGGGTGGCCTCAGACAGACATGACCCACCTCATCCTGCTGCCTCAGCCCCAAACATCATATGCCCCCCCAAGAGCTGACACCAGGAGCATCAGGAAGTGGCTTTGCACGGCCAGGAGGGCTCACCAGCCGCACCTTGCTGGGCGAAGAGGTGCCAGGAGGCCCAGAGCTGAGTGCCGACATGAGGAACCAGTTCTGCTGCTGCGGCCGCACCCTGAGGCTGGTGCTTGTCAGGAGGAGGGAAATCTGGAAATTCCTGCTTCAGGGACCCTCCAGGAATCCAGAGGCACCTGTGTCTCCAGAAGTGAGGGCCTGTCACAGAGACTTAGGTCTGATGGTCCCAAGATCCTATCAGATTCTTCCAAGAAGACTGCCAGAACTTTTTTTTTTTTTTCAGAACTTTTAATTAATAGTCTTAATTTTTAGGTTTACAGAAAACTGAGCAGGTAGTAGAGAGGGTTCCCATGTAGTCCCTCCCCTGCCCCAGATTCCTCTCTTACTGGCATCTCCAATTAGTGTGCACAGGTGCTGTAATCAATGAGCCAATACCGACATAAATTAACTGAACACTGCAGCGTTTGCTCCCGTGTCGTTGCTCTGTCAGTGCTGCATGCACCACTGTGCTGAGCTTGTTTTAGGGAAATGGACCCGGGCAGAGGTGGTTTGGCAGCCTTCTAGGTTACAGCCCTGAGCCTGGGATGGGAACGAGCTCCGTGTCGCCGCAGAGACGGCTCTCCCCTTTGGTCCAGTGGTCACTAGAGGATTCTAAAACCCTGAGCAGGTCACTCAGGCTGGTAGCACTGACTCCGCATTTGTAATATGAAAGGGCCCTAAAGCTGCCCCGCCTCTTCCTCTGTGTGAAGACCTGGACCCTGACCAGCCACAGGGTCCTTCTTGGGTGGATGTGCCCAGCCAGGCTGCTTATAAAGCATTTCTTTATCACCTGCAGTGCCCGAGGTGAGAAGTGCTGCTGTGCAGACAGGCTCGGCGGGCACAGAGGTGGTTGCAGCTTCCAGATTCCAACGAGTAGACCCCTCTCCCCAGCGGCCTGGGTAGCAGTTTCACTTGGCTCACTTCTCAAAGCAGTTCTGCACCCTGGTACCTGCAGCAACAGGGGTGTGGTGTGGGGTACAGCAGGCCCCCAAGCCCAGAATGCACATGTGTAGTCCTCTAGCCTCAAAGCTGACTTTGGGTCTTGGGATGACATCACTGTTTTTGACCAGGCAGGGTCTTTGCTCCGGGCTTTGGCTGGGTGGGTTGACCTGCTCAGTTCCAGGGCCGCCCTAACAGATTCTTCAGTTGTAACCCCCTTCAAGGTGGAACGACGCCCCCACTGTTGCCCCAGGACTCCTGAGGGCGGCTGTCTCTCAGCCCATCTGTTTTGGACCTGCAGACTCAGAGGGTGATGATTCCATCCCTACAACCAAATTAGACTTCCAAACCTCTAACCAGATGAAAGGGTGCAACATGAAAATAATAGGCACAGGAAGTCACTCCCCTCCCCCGCAGGTCACTCGAAAGTCCTCCTGAAATATATCTTGCCTGGAAAAGAAATGCTAAAACAAGGTCAGATTTCTCCACCATTTGATGTTGTTTCAGGCTCTGGAGCTCGCTCAGACCAACACCAGAGTCTGAGGAAGCAGAAAAACCTGCTTTTGTGATCCCAGGGGTGGCTGCCTGGAGTGCCACAGCTCCCTCCCTCCGCCTGGCAGACCCTTATCATCCTTCCAGAGGCCAGTGTCCTCTGGGTTGCCTATGTCCCCCTGTCTCCCCCACTGGATGTCAGGTACCTGGGGGCCCCAGTGACCACCTGGTGAAGGCAGCCACTCTCATCATGCTGCCCTCACCAGGCTGGGTCCCACTAGAACAGGGACCTCAGGGAAATTCGGCACCCAGGGGGCATTTGGCAGTATCTGGGGACAGTTCAAGTTGCCAAGCCTGGGGATGGGGGGACAGCCACTGCCAAAATGCTGCTAAAATCCTACAATGCACAAGAGGGTCCCCACCACGAAGAATCAAGAGCAAAGCTGGTGAATCGGGTACTAGACTAACTCTGGAGCAGGGACGGTGGGGACCAGCAGGGAGCACAGCAGTGATGCACAGGAGCGGTGGCCTCGACAGGCAAATTCAGAGCCTTTCTGTGGAATGGGTGTTCCAGGGTCGACCGCACACTCAACAGTGAGTCAGCCACATCACCAGCCACAGTTGGTCCTCCCCTCCTCCGTGGGCCGCAGAACGGGACACAGTCTGAACTTCCGCAAAGCACACTCAAATCCTGTGGAGGGTGGGTGCCAGGAACATCTCTGACGGCCTCAGGCTGGTCACACAGCAGTGGCACGGCCAGGTGCCCCTGCTACAGCCCAGAGGCCATTCCAGACTCAGTCTGCACGATGGGGCCACAGCACCACCACTGCTGGACGGACCTGCTGGCCAGGCGCCCGGCCTGGGTCTGCACGTACTTGGGGTCTCGGGTTTCTACCCCGCCCCCGCATCGTACAGGCTGGGGACGCGTTGCTGCCCGTCCCCCTCCCGCTCGAAACTTCACTTTCCAGCCTGGCTCTTCTCTCCCGGACCCTTCTCCCAGTCCCTCGCGCGGCCCTCTCCTCTCCGCGGCGTCCTAGCTTGTCCCACCCTCGGGCCACACGCCCCCCCCCGGCGCTTAGTGTCCCCGCCGCGCCACTGACTCCGGTATCCGCCGCGTCCAGCCGGGCTCCCTGGGCGCGGGGCACAGGCGCACTGGGCGGAGTTCCGGCGCGCGGGGGCGGAGCGGCCGGGCGGGCGCCGCCCCCCAGCTGAGCAGCGACTGGGACCGCGGACTTGCAGACTTCAGAGGCTCAGGCGGCGGCGGCGGCGGGCGCGGAGGTCCGCGCCCGGCTCCAGCGGCTCCAGGGGCTCGGGCGGCCCCGGCTCCGGCGGGGATGGGCGGGCAGCCGCCCTGGGGGCGCGGGGGGCGCACGACCTGACCGCCTGGACTCGAAGCCCGGCCGCTTGGCAGCGCCGGGTCGAGGGTCTGCTCGGTGGGCGCGGACGCGGGGCCGGCGGCCGAGCCGGAGCCAGAGCATGCGGGGCGCGGCGCGGGCGGCCGGGGGGCGCACGGGGCAGCTGTGGCCGAGGCCCCCCGCCCCGGGCCCTGGGCCGCCGCCGCTGCTGCTGCTGCTGGCCGTGTTGCTGGGCGGCGCGGGCGCGCAGTACTCGAGCGACTTGTGCAGCTGGAAGGGGAGGTGAGTTCGCGCGGCGCGACCCCAGCCCTTGGGTCCACTCCCCTCCCCGCGGGCCGAGCGCGCGGGGGCTCGGGGACCCGCTCTCCAGGCTGAGTGCCGTCCCCGCCCTCCCCCGCCCCCGGTTTTAGAACAAAAGAGCCCGCGGCGTCCCGGTCCCCTGACCCGGCGGACGCCCAGGGGGAGGCGCGCCTGCAGCGCGGTGGTGTCAGTCGGCTCCAGCAGCCCGCTCGCCCCGCGCCGGACCGCGCCGCTCCCCACTTGGTTCCCCGAGAGCCGCAGCCAGGACCCCGCGACCCCTCACTGGGGGCAGGCGGGGGTCGGCCTTCTGGCCCTTCCCGGGCTCTGCCCTCGGCAAGGAGTTGCGCACCCCGGGCCGGGAGGAGCCGGGCCTGCGCCCAGGGCCGAGCGGGAAGGGACGGACGGGTCCGCAGGAGGGAGCGGCGGCTCCGGTGGTCGGAGCGGGGGCCCTGGCGCTAACCGCGCACTGACCACGTCGGTGCGGGCGGAGACCCGCGGGCGGGCACCTTGCGCGGGGCGAGTTCGGGGACTGGCGGAGCCCCCCGCCCCGGCCCGTGAAGGTCAGGCCGCCCTTGGCAGCGCGCGCTGGGCTCTGCGACCCCCCTTCACGCCCTCTGCCAAGGCCGGACTTTTTTAAAAAACTGCAGTGTGACAGGCAAGTCACAAGCGTGGGCGGGGGTGGGGGTGAGGGCGCAGAGAACCTCCGTCCGCCAGGGCGCCGGCCCCGAGCCAGGCACCTCGCTGTCGGAGAAGACCGCTTGGGCTTCCGCAGTTGCTGATTCAGGAGTTCGCAGAGGGAGATACTAGCGTCTTCTTCTCCGAAAACGCTATGGGCCGGGGCTGCCCTTAGATCTGGGTGTGTCCCTGTGTCCCACCGTGCAGGGCCCCTAAGTCCCTGACTTCTGATGGGAAGACTCCCGCTGGCAGACACCTCATGCTGTGGGGTGTCACGGGGTTATTTTGAGTGAAGACAGTTTTTTCCGAGAAGGTAAGGGTTGTGCCACTGTGCTGGGTTCTGCGTCAGCAGGGCCGTTGCTGGTCCTCTTGGATACGTACAGACCCAGTTCTCTGTGGAAACTGGCAATTACCCTGCTCCCTTCTCTCCGCTTCCCAGCCTTCTAGAGTGAAGGTCCTGGGCTCCTGAGCTTGGGCTGGTGTTGCCCACCCTCCCTGCTGCAGAAGTTCTCCCAGCTCACACCACAGCAGGGGTGGTAGAGCTGAGACTGGAGCCCTGAGTGGCAGATCGGAGCTCTGGGGGAGGGTTGGCCTGGAGAATGCTGGCGCCAGCACAGAGCTGGCGGGGAGCCTCTGACTCTGACACACTCTTCTGGGGCTGCCCTCTCTCCCTCGCTGGTAATTAAACTCCCTGCTTTGCAGCCTCTGCTGGATGAATCAGTGCATCCCCAAACTGAGGCCTTGGGGTGTCCTGCTTCAGCAGATCAAAAACAGAAACCCAGTCCCACCCTATGAGCTTGAGTTTCCAGAGGAGGAGCTGACATCCTTTTCACATTCTTGGAGGACCATGTGCCTGGAAGAGGATGCCTCCCCTGGAGCCCAGAGGGAGCTGTGAGCGAGGACTGGTCAGGGGGCCAACCTGCTCCTGGACCACGCAGGTGTTTGCAGTGGGTAGAGGAATCCCTTCACCTTCCTGTTCCTGTGCATCCTGTTATCTACTGGGAGAAGAAGGGCCACTTACCTGCGGCCCCTCTCCCTCCATCATTGCTAATGGACCCCTGGACTTGGACACCCTCCAGTGTCCTCCACTCAACCCAAAGGCAGAACCCGGCCAAGGGCGGCTGCAGTAGCTGTAGGAGCTGTGGGCGGAATCTGGAGCAGAGACAGGGCCAGGTCACATTCCTGGAGCGTAAGCCCCCCTTGCATTGTAATTGCTGCCCCCAGTTATCATTCTTTTTCCACAAATCAGCTGACAGATTCTTACCCTGGTGTGCTGGTTTGCCTGCTGACTCTATAGCATTTACGACTTTTTATGAGCCCTTCTAAGGACAGCACAGGGTGGTGCAAACCCTGATGTGCCGGGTGGATTCTGATCCCCTGATAGGAAGGGATTTGTTTTTTATGACACTGGCCACTCACATTTGACAGGCCTAATGTGTTTCTGGGTGTTTCCAAGCAATTAAGTAGAAGGTTTTGAAATCCCTCTCCCTGTGCAGGGGCAGGACGTGCCCTATCTTTATTAGGCCCTGGTCATAAAGGTGGACCGTGAACTTTCCTACTGTGATGGGCTGGGCATTGCCGGTTATGTCACACCTGGGCTATCTCTCCTGCAAGGTGGGGAAATGAAAAGTAACTCCAGGCAGGAGAGCCTATTGGTTTTGCCCTTGATCAGAAGCTCTTCCTGACTTTAGTCAAAAAGAGACCATCACTTCCTTCTGGTGACTCAGGGTTTGAGCCAGGCTATGGTTGTGAGTGGTGTGGGCTCTGCTACCACCACACTGACCCTGTCAGACAGTCCCCATAGCGACTTGGAATTTGCCATCTTTACCATAAAGGTGCTCCACAGGTGTGTCCTCCTCGGGGGGGGGGGGGGGGGTGACACTTGCGGACTCTTTTTTAATGCACTAATTCAGTTTAAATAATCCAAGATCAAATCAGTCTTCTCAGTTTACTAAGGTTGAATAGAACCACAGCTTTTTTCTGCATCCTGTAGCTCTGTCATAACATCAGAAAGCAGTTATTTCATTGTTCTTAGTTAGGATGTCACCTGCATGTCACGTGAAGATTGTAACATACCGTCATCAGTGGCCATTACTGGCGTGCTGTGTTTTTGCACTTCCAGCACTTTTGCTGAGCAGATGTCTGTCTGGATGGAGCTCTTGCTCTGATGAGAGTGTGGACGCTCCTGTGTTGGGCGCTTACTGAGAGTCTTGTTGGTCCTGATGTTTTAGCAGAATGAGCGAGAAGAGGCAGAGCAGGGCCCGTGCAGGCTCCGGGGACGGGCTGGACGTGTTAGAGGGTGAAGTGTTGGGCGCTTTATTTCTCACGTGTCCACTGTCGTTTTGTTCCTAGTCCCCTTTCAGGCGAGTGACTTGTGAGTAAATGGATGCACGTGGTCATGTACGCAGACTGGTGGATGGCAGCCCCCAGCCTCGGGTCCGCCTCCCCCTGGGCAGCATGGGCTGGCCATCTGTCCCCACGAGGGCCCGCTCTGCCCCTGCCAAGACGCGGGTGGAGGGTGGGCCTCCCCATTTCACCCTCCACTGTTGGGGTTAAGGCAACCTCGTGAGAGGTACCCACAGCCTCTGGTGTGAGGTCTCCACTCCCTAAACCCCTAGGTCCCCCTCCTCCCACCAAGAGGGAAGCGAAGCCTTGGAAGGGGTGGTTTTTGTGGGAGAGAGAGTTGAGGATTGGTGTCTGGGCATGGCGCAAGTGTCCAGCTGCCCCTCAAGGCTGGAGCCAGGAGAGGAGGGACACTGTGATAAAGTTTGTTTGGCTGCGTAAGCGCAGAGCTGATTATAGTCATCTGTGGCAACCACACACCATTTAGTCTAATTTTGTCACCCAGCACTATAATTATGCCCATCCCCTCCTATGTGTCAGATGAGCTTGTGTGAGTTTTATGTGACTGTAAGTTGTAAGTCTGTTCTGTGTGTGCAGTCCTGCTAGGCATCTGAGGCCAGGCTGCTCATGACCCAGGGCCTTGGGGGTGGGGAGTGGAGTGAGGAGGGAGTCCACCTCCTTGACACCTCCTTCTGATGTGGTCTGCAGGGTGACTGTGCATCCCTAGCCTGCAGCTGGCCGCTGCATGAAAAGTGAGGCTTTTCGGGGCCTGGAGCATGAGTCACCAACAGTAAATGCAAACCATATGTTATGTGTTTTCTCCTCTGCAGAAAAGGTTTCTGGTAACTCACTCAGGCCAGGGCTCTGAATATAGTATTGTGTATTTCACATAAAAATCCTAAGAATGTGGGTGAACCTGTCTGAGATCTGATCAGAACCAAATTTCATGTAATAAAACACTTAGTTGAAGTCACCGTTGAGTTCCCGGGCTGCTTGGTGTTTATGACGTAACCGTTACCACAAGCTGACATTTACATTACAGTTTTGAGTAGGGGAAACTTGAACGTTTTTGATGGTTTCAATTTCTCGAAAACATAATGTTATGACTTACTCAAGACCTGCCTCCCCAAGAGCATAGCACACTTCATTTTTTCCTGTTTGCGATTTATTAGGAGTGAAACCCACTGGGCTCCCCAACAGTCCCCATCGGGAAGACAGGTTATCTGCGGACCTTTTGTGTCCCCCTCCCTTTGCTTTTCCACAATTCCTTCCCGTGTCTCCCTGTGGAGGACCTTTACTTTACTTTTGTGTCTTGCTTTGATGCTATTTGTGTTTGCTTTGAAAAAAATACTACTGGCAATGCAGGGTCTTCAGGTTTGCAAATGAATGAAAAAGCAGTCAAATCATCACCTTAAGGAAAATATGAACACTGTGCCTAACGGGCATCCTGAAGACAAAACTCACCAACAACCTACACAGCCCCCCCCCCCCAAATTACTAACATTCCCAGTTCGTTTAAAAGCTGCTCCCTGGAGTGTATTATTTATTATATGTGCATTGCATTCCAGCGTGCCTCCTGTAACTTGAATCTGCTCCTTGGTCTTCACACTCGGTGGGAATCTACCAACATTTCCTGGTCCTCATTTGCTTATCTGGAACTTGGGTTGGTGCCAAAGTCCCACGGGTGTCTCTCTGTTTATTTTTTGGAAGAGCCGTCTTTTCCTTCGTTCTCACCTCCACTGCACCCATCATTGCCCCTGTTCAGGGGTTTCCCAAGGACACGGGCTCAGAGGCCAACAGAGTGTCCAGGTGGTGAGAGGGTCTGGGAGCCAGAAGCTCCCACACTTACCAGAGCGCTCGGAGCTGGTGCGCGGGAAGGAACTGGGCGGGGGAGGCCGTGTGGCCACCCCTCCCTGGAGATGGGCCCTGAGCTGCAGGGTGGAGACGGTGCCAGCCTGCCTGTGGGTGAGGGGTGCTCGGACGCCCGAGCAGGTGTCTCCCGGCTGACGAATCTCCCCCTCCACAGCGGACTGACGCACGAGGCCCACAGGAAGGAGGTAGAGCAGGTGTACCTGCGCTGCTCCGCGGGCACTGTCGAGTGGATGTACCCGACCGGAGCGCTCATCGTGAACCTGCGGCCCAACACCTTCTTGCCCTCCCGGCACCTGACTCTGTGCATCAAGCCCCTCAGGGGCTCGTCGGGGGCCAATATTTATTTGGAAAAGACTGGAGAACTGAAACTGCTGGTGCGGGATGGGGACCTCGGGCCCGGCCAGGCCCCGTGCTTCAGCTTCGAGCAGGGCGGCCTGTTCGTGGAGGCGACGCCCCAGCAGGACATCAGCAGGAGGACCACGGGCTTCCAGTACGAACTGACCAGCCGGCATGCGGGGCCAGACCTGCACACCCTGTCAGGTGAGTGTGGTGCCCAGGGTGGGGTGGTGGCCTCAGGGGTCCTCTCTCGTCTCCCAGACCCCCCGATCATCTCCCACCCCCACCTCAGCACAGCCCCTGAACATGCTGCTCGAGTCCGTGCTTCAGGCCTGGCAGGTCTGCCTGAGGGCGGCCGAGGGGCCCTCCCAGGAGCAGGTGCCCCGTTAGTGCTGTGGACAGTTTGGACTTGGGACGATGGCCACAGGTCAGAGCAGAGCTGTGACACAGTCCTGGCCCATAATATGCTCTTCTCCCCTGGACCAATTTTGACTGTGATTTGAAATGGGTGCTGTTACCATCCAAACTGCCCCAGAATTTCTTCTGACACACAAGTTGGCCGAGTGTTTTTGGCGTCGGCTGCAGTCCCTGAAACATTGAGTTTTGGGTGGAAGTTGAGTCTGATTCACGTTCCAGAGCCATGCAGAGCTGGGATGTCCTGAATCGTGAACCATTCCCAGGTTCACAAGCCGTTTTATCTGTGGGTGTCGGTGAGGGCACCGGCACCATGCCATGCAGGGCAGCTGAGTGGCTCTGATGACCTGGGAACCTCAGGTGAGGTACCAGAGGGAGTCTCTGGGTGGCCGAGGGCTGGTGAGTTGGCTTTAGATTTTCCTTCCCTTTTTTTGAGGCCAGCAGACAGCTTTGTGGGGCCCTGTGTGGAAGGCAGTGTTGGTCTCTGGAAAGTTCTGTGGGCAGAGAGAAGTGTGTGTGGCCCCAAGAGCTCTCACACAGGGAAAACTCAGGGTCCTGTCTTTTAGATAGGGACAACCAGGCCAGGTGCAACCCTTGCTTCAAGGCACAGATGACCTCGTGGTGTACGAGCGCATGGGGCGGGGGTCAGCGGGGCTCAGGTGCACCATCTGCTTCAATTCCAAAACTAGTTGGTAGGAAGATGCCTCCCCAGGGGAAGGTGTGAGCTTGGGTAATGGTGGGGGCAGGTTCCAGGAAGGCTGTTCCTGCGGCGACCAGCCAGGATGATGGTCGGGGGGGGGGGCGCTATGGCATCGAGTGTTGGAGGCGAGGCAGGGATGCTGCCCACACCCCATAGTGCATAGGGCAGCCCCACCACAGAGAATGACCTGGCCCCAGACATCAGCACAGGACACCCCAACACGAAGAGTGACTTATCCCCAAGTGTCAGCAGTGCTGAGGTGGAAACACCTGGTTTGAGGGCTAGGCCAGCCCCCACAAATAATATAATTTAGTGAACAAAATCTTCCATTGGAAAAAACCAGACCTACTAGGATTTGAAATGCAGACTTTCTCCTGAGTGGGAATCTACATTTTATTGTTCTGTGTTCTTGGCTCAGATGAGTTTTCAAAACCTTAAATCTCTCTCAAACTAAACTGGTCTGTTATAGAGCTTCAATGTATGACTGCCCAGGTAGGACCCCTCCCCCCAGGGCCTGACTGCCCAGGTAGGACCCCTCCCCCCCGCCCCTGTGCCTGCCTGGGTAGGACCCCATCAGGAATGCTGAAAGCTGCTATAAACCCCAGGACTTGAATAAAACTTTAACCACAACAGCCTTTATCTTGATCACCAGCGAGTGATCGTTGGCGGGGGTGGTGGGGGGACGCTAGAGATAAACTCGCAATAAAAACAAAATCTGGAGAAACCCGGTCACCAAATTCGGTGTCTCTGGCCACGGTGAGAGTTGGCTGATGGGGCAGATATTAGGGACTTGCTAACATTCCTTTTACTGATTAAAATGTTGACGGGTTGAGGCCATTCGGCTGCTGGTCACATGCTCTGTCCCGCTGGAGCTTTGTTCCACTTTGCTGTGAGGCCCCCACCAGGTTCTTGGAGGCCACGGCATAAGGTGCTTTCCGTGCTGCCCCCTGAGTGCTCCCGTTGGCACAGACCGGCGTCTCTGGTGGAAAATCCACAGTGGGGTCACGACCCGGGGTGACTCAGAGCCTGTGGCTCAGCCCTAGGGACCTGAGACTTTGTTTCTTTCCCCCTCCCTGGGGGCAGGGCCTGTGCTCCCCCAGACCCCAGGTCTACGTTTCCAGGCTAGGGCAGTGAGTGGGTTTGGGAGAGGCCCGTGGGGTCACAGGGAGAAGGCCCCGTGTGATGGGGTGGGTCGTCTGGCCGGGGCACCACACAGGACACGTGGCTGTGGCTGGACGTTGGGCTGCTGGGGTGCCCTTGATCCCCCAGACATACGCCTGCCTGTCCCTGGGGTGCCTCTTTAAATCTGGGGCTCACGGGAATGCCGGAGACCCTGAGGATGGTGGGGTGTGATTGTCCATCTGCCCAGTGGCCGGGGCGCTGGCCTGGGGCAGCACAGATACAGTGACTGTCAGAACTTGAGATGGGGATGCAAAAGGCTCCTAGGGTGTGGGAGCTGCAGACCCAGCACTTCTCTGTCCTGAAGGAGACAAGGGCAGCAGGGATCAGGGAGGCCGGTGCATCCCTTCTCCCCAGGGATGGGCCCCTAAGCTTTTAATGCCAAAGGAATGGGTACGTAATGTGGAATGCTGGTGCCAGCCATCTGGCATCAGTGACCTCCCCCGGACCAGGCGGGCTCTCAGATGGCAGCGCTCTCCTGTCTGGCCCTGGCTGCAGCGGGGAGACACCAGTGGAGCCGAAGCCCCAGTGTGTGTGCCATGGAGGTGAGCACATGCCCGTGACCTGACCTGCTGGGGAGGTGGATGAGCCTTCTCCCTCGCTGATGAATCCCGAGTTCCAGTTTGTGCTGATACGAAATTAAAGAGGCACCGCGGGCTGGGATCCCGAGGGAGAGGTGTGCATGAGCCTTGCTCACCTGCCGCAGCTCTGGGTGGTTCCACAGGGAGTGTTTATGGTGAGCATGTTAGCTTCGTGTCCATCGTGTTGCATAATCGGCTTCCTCGTATGGACTGGGACTCACCAACAGCCAAGAAGAGGCCAGGACGGAGAGGCAGGCAGATACAGAGGGGCAGGTGGGTGGCAGTGGGACTTCAGCCCCCCGGGTACTCGGGATTTGGCTGCCACGTGGCAGGAAGGGGAGGACCTGCTCCCCCGCCCTCCCCCTCCTCCGAGGGCCTCACCAGGCACCTGAGTAACACGGCACTCCTTCCTCTGGCGCTGGAAAAATTTGGCAGGATACAAAAAGCAGGCAAGTGGCCAGATGCAATTCACTAGTGGAAGAAGCTCCAGGCCACACCTGGACTGTGTGCTGAAGCCTCACTGTGGACCTGGCCAGGCTGTCTGGACCATCCTCCCCAGGGTCCCAGCACACTTGGGGAAACAGGCACCACCAGGACCCCCATTGCCCAGTGGGCTGGGGGACGCGTTAGGGTGGCCAAAGAGGGAGGGCGGGGGTGTTACTCGGTCTGGTTCTAGGGGACAGATGCAGACCCCGTCTCTGTGGTTCTCCTGGGGCAGCTCAAGGGGGCCCTGGATTCCAGCATGTTCTTTTACTATTTAGGGGCTGAGAAGCAGGGGCTCACAGGCTTGGCCACATCCACGCTCTGGGGTTTGGGCTCTGTGCGATGCCCACCCAGAGCAGGCCCCCGGCGTGCAGGTGAGGTGGTGGGGGGGACAGTGGTGTTTTAGACCCACAGCCGGAGGGGTGTGGGGGCAGGAGGACTTGCCCCTGTGCCGGCCGTGAAGGCCCAGAAGTGACTCCCATCGCTGCTCGTGGGCGCCGGGTGGGGTGGCCTGGGTCCCACAGTTTCTGACGTGCTTCATCTTGCCATCCCCTTTGAAACCGCTCTGTTGATGAGCCAGGGGTGAATGATCCCTTTGGGGGGCCTGGGAGGCGCAGACCCCTGCTGGGATCCCACTTGGGCACCTTAGAGTTTAGGGGCGGGCTTGATGGGCCGTGGGGCATAAACAGCAACGTTAAGAAGTGAAAACAAACTTCGTTATTTCCTGGAAACAGTATAGGAGAGAACTTAATTTTTTCCCTAAGTTTCGTTTAGATTCCTGCACCAGTGCTTTTCCAGCCCCTGTAATCACTGTAAAATTACTTTTCATCTTACCCAGCTCTGGACTCTGGGGGTGGAAGGTGTGACTCCTCTGGCTTCCTCACCAGGAAGAGGGAGGGAAGGGAGTGGGTGCGGGCGAGATAGCTGGTGAGGCTAAGCGTTCCCTGTGCCCGCACGTGGGAGATGGGGTTTCGCAGGAGGCGACTAGCCCCGGCCAGGTCCCACAGGGTCCTCTGGGGCGATGTCAGCCTGTGGCCTGGAGTTGGGGTGAGTGCAGGGTTGTCATGATGATCAGAGGAGGCTCTCTGCTCAGCGAATACCGCTCACATTCTGGCAGCGTTGCTCCCTTTCCTCCCCTCCCTGTTAAAATGCTTCATTCACTACCTGTCGCGGCTGCACTGAAGACCCCAGAGGGTGTCTCACACATCGTGTCCACCCCAGTCATCCTTCCCTGGGCAGTCTCACCCGCCAGACCAGCATCCCACCATCTACAAACTTCTCCTGGGCATCGGGCTACCCAGGGCCTGACAGAGGGGTGCCGCCCTCCCCACCTGTACCTGCCGCTCTCACCTGCATCCCTGCTGCAGCCCCCAGCTGGTCTCCCTGACCCTGTTTTTTTCTACTTCATTCAGTTCATTTTATGCATATTTCAGAGTAATCTTCCCGACGTCCACATCCCAGCCCTCCCCTTTCCAAGAACCACAGGCCAGAATTCCACCCGGCCCCTGGGCCGCCCCCTCCCCATCTTCCCCACAAGGAAACAAGATTCGATGTGTCAGAAACCAGCGCATTCCACTCGGCCTCCACGAGCCTAACTCCGATTAATAATTGTTTCCAGATTGCTCCTCTTGGCGTCCACAGCCTGGATTCTCCACAAAGGTGCCTACACTTCATAAAGCTCAGAGTCATAAGAGAGTCTTGCGGGGGGCTTTGTTAGCTCAGCTGTCAACGGCATGGGCTCGCTGAAGCTTTGGGTGGGAGGGTCAGCAGACTGCTGACCACCTGCCCCCAGGCCCACCGGGGTCCTCGTACATCCTGCGTGGGACTGGGCGCGAGTCAGGGCAGAGAGCCCAGGACAAGCTCACGCCACCTTTCTCCCCAGTGGTCAGCTGAGGTCCCGGGGCCTACAACCCACAGAGAGCTCGAGGCTCCAGGGCTTGGTGATCATACGCACCCAGGCCTGGGTTTCGACCGCGGTTTGTGGCCTGGGCCTGTCTCAGCTTCTAAAGAGCTTGTGTGGACCTTGCCTCCCATTCACCCATGCTTGGAGTTTGCATGGCCTGGTTCCGAGGCCCCAGGCGGGGGCCTCTGACCCGGTGGGCACTGGGGGAGCCGCCAGGACGGGAAGTCTCCCTACTGCCGCGGGCCCCTCGGCACACAGGCTGGAATAAAACACCGCCTCTTGTGGGATGTGAGGCTCCCCGATGTCTGCAGGGCTGTGCTCCCCCTTTTCTTCACTCTGGGGTCTCTGTCAGGCCCAGCGTGGGCAGCAGGCCCCCAGCGGGTTAGAGGTGGGGGACTCCCAGTTGGCCACCTTCTTTTTTACGAAAGGCCTTGAGGCTGGGGGTCCACACTCATGACAAAAAGCCACAGGTGGGCAGAAGGCTCCGGATTTGGAGCTGGGGAGGGAGGTGCTCCGTGCTCTCAGATGCTCCAGAGGCATCCGACAGGCTGTTCTTGTTCTGCGGCTTCTCCTTTTTCCTGATAACTTAACAGAAGCGCCCGTGAGTCATGCACTCGCTGGACTAGACTGGGACATGTACATCTACCCCCGCCTGGGGGCAGGACGGGAGAGCTGGTGCTCCGGATGCTCATGTCCATCCCCGAGGGGTCCCAGGACACCAGAGACTCCAGGGTCTCTTTGTCCCCACACATATTCCAGGTCCCGGAGGCCCCTCCTGTTCCCTGTGCATCTCCCTGTCTCCTCGAGGGCCCCCGAGTCACTGCAGCCCCTGGGCAGGTGACAACTCAGCCCGGTTCAGGGGCTTCGAGGGCAGCTGGCCAGGTGTGCTGACAGTTGTAGGTTCATCCAGGCCCAGTGAGTGCCAATCCTGGGGACTTTGCGGGGCCTTCAGAACATGAAAAGGCAGAGGGCAATTTGTCCTAGTGAGAGTTCACGCCTAACATTTCTGTTGTTAGGGAATTTGGGCCCAACCCTAGAAACTAGAAATAGGTGAGGAAACGTGCAACATCAGAGCCAAATAATAAACTTGTGTCTCCCCAAATCCACCGCTGAGTTAGGAGTGCCACAGTCCTGGGGAGTCCCCAGAGCCTCGAGGTTTCTGTCTCCCCCCAGCCCTTCTGGAGGCCTTACGCCAGTCTGAGGCAGTAGGTGAAGGGTGGGGTGAGAGCTGTACCGGGGGGCAGAGGTCCACCAAGAAGGACTGGTTTGTCTGGAGTAATCAGCCCCCACCCAGGTCTGGGGAGTCTCAGAGGGGATCCTGTGAACTGGGCTTGCTGTGAAAGGTGTCTGGAGGTGTTTGGAGGTGACCACCTGGTCCTGTTGGTTAGACGAGGACCCCACAGCTGAAGCAGGTGGACGTGCCCCTCATGCCCACCAGTGCCTTTAGCAGGGTCACCTGGTCCTTCTGGGCAGTGCCTTGACCCCTGTGGAATCCTGGTGGCAGATGGGACCGTGGGGGCAGGCAGTGGGAGTGGGAGGCCCTGGCATTTGGGGGCCTGGCCACAGAGGCTGAGTGAGGCTCTCGGACAGGCTGGTGTCAGGGACGTGGCCTTAGATCAGCCCGGGTTGGTTTTGGCGCCGAAGAGCCATTTACACATGAGCCCAGGGGTTGTTTGCCCGGCACGACTACAGTAATGAGCTAAGTGTGATCGAACGCAAAACCGCACTTTCCCTCCGTTTTCACGCCATTGCAGGTGGCCCAGGTGAGCCTGGGGCCCCTGGAGACGTTTCCCCATCTGTGCAGCCGAGGTCGAGGCCCCGCCTGCTCTTGGCACCCTGGTTTCAGAGGTGCGGGGCCTGGACAGTTGCTCCCGACATCAGAGGACTTATAAGATGTCATGTGGTCTATATGCCGTGGGCGGGAGGGTCCCATGTTCATGCACTGGCCCCGCCTGACCCTATTCTCTCCCCACAGCCCCGTGCCGCCCTTGCAGCCACACTGAGGTGCTCTTGGCTGTCTGTACCAGTGACTTTGGTGAGTGTGTTGGCGGTTCCCGCCACGTGGGGGAACTAAACCCGCTGGGGGGAGGAGACTCTCCTGAAGATCCTGGGCTTGGCCCCTCTTCCATCACTGATTGCAGTCACAGGAAAAGGCCTTCCTTTCTGCTCCTTAGAGTGACCCCAGCCCGAGAAGGGACCTGTTTGCAGGGCGGGGAGAGAGCTGGGAATTCCTATTTAAGGTGGGAATTCCTATTCGAGGTGATACTGAGCATTTTCCTACTTGGCGTGTGAGTCTAAGTCCTGGCTCTAGCCTCTCCTCAGTGCCCTGCCTGCCTCCAGGTCCCCTGTAGGCACCACAGCAGGCGTTGGAGGCCCTGGTGGGGCCAGGGTCGGGATCAGGGACTCAGCCGCCTGCTTGTGATGTTGGCACAAACGCTCTCGAGTTAAGGGTGGCAGCATTCAGGGTGAGTTCGATGGAGCCGGCCCAGAGGGACCTGGCTCTGAGCCCCCCCAGGCTCCCAGGGCAGTTGGGTGGTGGAAGTACAACCCTTTCTTCTCGCTGGCCCTGCACAGAGGGGATCTGGGGCCGGGCGGTGTCCCTGAACTTGTGCCTGCTCTGCCCTTCTCCACCCTTCTCCTTCCCATCACCTTCCTCCCCTGTAAGCTTCACCGTTTCTGTCTGATCTTGATACAGAACCGTGGCAGATCTTGAGTATTAACTGCAGTGACTTTTCTTGTTTTAACTTGAAAACTTGGTGCACAACGTGATTCATATCTTCTGTTTTTCTCCACTTCTGTGGCTGGCCCTTGGTAGAAAAGCATCTCTGCCCAAGACAGTGTGAGTGACGGGGATGACCCCTAGGCAACATCTTGTGTGTGGATTGTGGTTTTTAGTGAAAATTTCTGGAAGGCAGAGTTCAGGGTCAGCTCCTGGTTCTGCTGCTGGGGGTGGGAGGTTGGTGCGTGCTGTCTGCTTGGTGAGCACCCCGCTGACCACTGACCCTCCCCCCGTCTCCTTCCTCTGCAGTCGTCCGAGGCTCCATCCAGGATGTCACCCATGAGCCGGCGCAGCAAGAATCAGCCATCCACCTGAACGTGAGCCGGCTCTACCGGCAGAAGAGCAGGGTCTTCCAGCCGGCCCCAGAGGGCGAGGGTGGCGGCTGGCGGGGGCGCGTCTCCACGCTGCTGGAGTGCGGCGTCCGGCCTGGGCGCGGTGAGTTTCTCTTCACCGGCCACATGCACTTTGGGGAGGCCTGGCTCGGCTGCGCCCCGCGCTTCAAGGATTTCCAAAGGATGTACAGGGACGCTGAGGAGAGGGGGCTGAACCCCTGCGAGATAGGCACAGAGTGACTTCTGGGTGACCGCTGCCGCAGCGATGGATATGCACACTGGGGTGGGTGCCTGGCGCTCCAGCTGGGGAGGTACACGCTGGTTCTGGCCAAGGACTCCCTGATGGATTGACTGGAGATGCTGTAACATGCCAACTAAGTTATTATATTTTTTTTAAAAAAGAAATGTTCATAGGAAGCAAACTCCTGTGTCGTAAAATGCCTTCGTGTGCCGTTTCGTACTGTTTTCTGAGCATCTGCAGTCACTGCATTTGGCTGGTGTGTTGGGCGAAGTGTGAGGGCCGTGGCCCACAGCCGATACCCGACACCAGGCTTGGGTACCACTCAAAGTTGTTTCTTATGATGGAAATTTATGGGGCCAAATACCTATGGTTTTTTCATTTTGTTTTTGCTTTTTAAAGAATGAACTTTGCCAGCCATGGTCATTTTGGGGCTGCAGGCTGTTTCCATTCCAGGGAATAAAGACCAGCCTCTGATGGATCAATGGCGCGTCTGTCTTCGGCCCTGGTCAGTGGTGTGTGGCACTTACCTAGGGGCCCACGCCAGGGCTTCTCCAGGGGAGCCCCACGGCCCTGGCGTTAGGGACCTTTCACACTGGGCCCAACTATAAGTGAGGCTGTTACCCCCATGCTCGGCCTCTACCAGAGGTACCCCCCGCGTTCCTGGTGGACCACCCCCATCCCCTTCAGCATCTACCCTCCTCCTTCCTGTTAACCTAGATCTTGCCCTTCGACCTCAGCTTCCCCCAAATGCCCGAGCCCAGGGCAAGTGTCTAGATACCCAGGGCCTGATCTGGGCCCCATATCCTCAAGGATGAGTCAGTGTCCTGCAGCTGCTGGAACAAATGACCACAACCCAGGAGCTTAAACAACAGACACTTATTCTCTCATGGTTCTGGAGACCAGAAGTCCAAAATCAAGGGCCGTGCTCCCTCCAAAAGCTCCAGGTGGAGACCCTTCCTTGTCTCTTCCAGGTTCTGGTGTTGCCAACAGTCCTTGGTCCTCGGCCTGTGGACACATCACAGTCCCTGCCGTCCTTTGGCTTTCTTCTCCCTGAGTGTCTGTCCACATTTCCCTCCTCTCTCTCACATCCACCAATCACTGGATCGAGGCCCACCGTGATCCAGTAAGACCTCATCTTAATCACGCCTGCGAAGACCCCGTTTCCAAATAAGTTCACATTCACAGGTCCTGGATAGATAGGAATTTTGGGAGACACTGTTCATCCCAGTACAGGTGTTGCTGGGGTGCCATGTAATCAGACCTGAGCCTGCGATTCCTCCCAGGCAGCTGCTGAGATGAACAGACCTGGGAGAGGCTGACACCGGTCAGTGAACACCAAGCCAACTGCACCGAAAAGTCAGGTACACCATGGGGAGGGACTGTATGCTGGCTCAGGTGTGAGCTGACATAGACGTGCCCTGGCTCAGTCATGTACCAGCTCAGGTGTGCACCAACTCTGGCATGCCCTGCCTCAGGTGTGCGCTGGCTCAGGTCTGTGGGCTCCTGCAGGTCACGACAAGAAGCAGGTGCTCAGTACCTGCACAACGAGAAGCAGGGTGATGACCTGAAGCAACAGGGTTGGTGACAGGCACAGGTCCTACTGTGGCTAATGATCGTGATGCTTTATGCCAAAAGGATGCCCGTGACAGCAGAAGACGTGCCAGGCCCACGGTGGGGGAGGAGCTGACCCGCTCCTGGGTTTGTGCTTTGGGTTTTCTGGGCTGGTTGGGCACGCGGGTGCTGCAGAACCAGATTGTCGGGCTTCGGGGCTGGTGTCCCTCCTCATGTCGGTACAGGGATGCGGGGATTTGCCCCAGGAGGATCCGGGACCTTGACCCCACGTGCTGATGTCCGGTGGACAGCAGCATTCCCTCCATGTGAGGCTGAAGCTTTGTTGGAAGCGCCTGGGGGTGGAGGTCTCTTGGTGAGAGTCTGGAGGAAGAGCAGGGCTTGTTGGACACGGTGAGGAGAGGGTGGCGTCTGGCGCTGAGAGTCTGGCGCTGCAGGTGGGGGCCTGGTGCCGGCACGCGGAGCTCCCTCTCCTTGGCCGAGCAGAACTCCGGCAGCAGCCCAGGGCCACTGGGTGTTGGGGAGGAGCTGGAAAGGTCACCATTTCTGAGGGGGCACAGAGCCCCTACCTCCCTCTGACCGTGCCTTCATGCTGCCTAGAGCCCCCTTTGGGGTCTGAGGCCCCTATGCCCCCGCCCACTCTCTGACACACCGTGGAGCCCTGAGGGGCCACGCCAGGAGCTCAGAGGGTCTCCGGAGGCTCCTTCGGGCTGACTGGCAGCTCTGCCGTGCAGTCTCGGCCCAGTGCCTCTGTCTTGGCTCCGGGCAGCCCTGGCCACTCTGTGGATGGAGCTGCCAGCCCTCCTCTGTGGCTCCATCCAGAGGTCGAAGGGGAGGCGTGTAGGAGCCCTGAGTCCCGGCCAGTGTGCCCGGGTCCCACCTTCTTCCTGCTAAGCTGTGCCCCACACCCACACCCTCTGTGCCCACTCCCTCCCATCCTGAGCAACCTGCACAGGTTGGCCAAGGCCCTGGAACCGCCCAGAAACACCTCCTCCTGGCAAGCCCTAAGGGGTGTCCTTATTCTCTCGGCCTCTGCAGCATTGGACATGCTCGTTCAGGCCCATCCAACGACATCAAGATCAGGAAACACTTCATGAGCCATTCGGCTGTCGTGGCATCTGTGGGCAGCTCTTCTGCCTCCTGACGACTGCCCTGTGCCGAGGGTGCTTTCTTCTCCTCTCTATCCCGTGCTGTCCCAGAGACATACGTGGGACCCCGGCCCTGGCCCCCTCCTCCTGCTCGTCTGGGCTCCCTGAGGGCTCAGGCCCCTGCACCCCCATGCAAGGGGGCCACTCACCTCTCCCCCGACCTGACTGCCTGGGGCTGACCCTGCCGCCTCCAGCTGGGGGCTGCTCATCGTGCCCCAGACCTCATTTCCAGCACCACGGTACCTGTCCGGAGGAGCTGGGGTAGGATGGACCACAGGTGTAGGAGCCATGTGCCACCAGGGGCTGGCCATGACCCACACCCGCTCGTGTGACCCGCTGGGACCCAGGGGAACCTCAAGACTGCTGCATGTAGGTGTCCCTGTCCCAGCCTCTGGTGGCCAGCTGGCCCCAGGCGAGGGCCCTGGTGGATGTCCCAGGCCAGACTGGCTGGCCTGACACACGCCCCGTCTCTGTGAGCCTCCTCTTTGCTGGGCAAGAAAGGGGCCTTGAGTCAGATGTACCTGCAGGGCTTTCCCTCCAGCTCCAGCACCAGGACCCTGCCCTGGGAGGAGCTGGGCGACTGTCAGTATGTAAACACACAGATGCTGAATCACACTGAGGTGGCGACTAGTCCAGAGGGAAAAGAAGGGCAGAGACGGGTCTGGGGTGCAGAATGTGGGCAGGTGGGGGTGGCTGAACTGCAGTTTTAACCATGGTGTTCGAGGTGGGGTTTGAGCCAGCCCTTGAGGAAGTCAGGAGCTGGTATGTGGGAGGAGAAAACAGGCTGTGCAAAGGCCCTGGGGTGGAGGGGTGGGGGGGACAGGGACAGGGATGGTGCACCAAGTGACCTTTCCTCTTGCTTTCTGCCTCCTGTCAGCACTGAGAAAACAACTCAAGTGTTGGAGGAACAATTGGCATTCAACTCCCTGATGTCTGGGCCATGTTTCCATGTATGTGGTCCATATCCTGTCTGTCATCTTCACCCACTGTGGACGGCAGACTAATGGCTCCCAAAGATGTCCTCATTCGAATCCCTGGAGGCTGTGACTATGTTACCTACATGGCAAAGGGGAGTTAAAGCCACAGATGGAACTAAGATTGCTAATGAGATGGGGAGATTATTCTGGTGGGCCTAATGTCATCACAGGGGTCCTTAAAAGAACCCTTGTAAGGAAGACAAGGCAGAAGAGAGAGAACCAGAGAGATGCAGTGTGGGGACTCGACAGTCGGTGCTGGCCGTGGAGGTAGAGGAAGGGCCTCCAGAGGGAACCAGCCCCGCCGACACTCGAGAACCAGGAGATGATAAACTTGTGTTGTTTTTAAGCCACAGTAAGTTTGTGGGAATTTGTTACAACATCTACAGGAGACAAACAACCCAGGTACCTTCTTACCTGGGGTCAAGGGGACTTGGTAGGGTGCCTGGGCAGCCTGGGTGCTTGTGAATTCCCCCTAAAGTTGTGTGTAGAATGCTGTGTTATGCATCTACCTGCAGTTTTAGAAAACTGGTTCATAACTTTCATCTGAATCTCAGAGTTAAGTGATTCTGCACAGGTGGAGACCACAGGGCAGTTGTGGTTTTTCTCACTGATGTATGAGGGATCATGCTCTCTCCCCACCCCCACCCCCTCTGTCTCTCTGTCTGTCCCTCCCTCTGTCTCTGTCTCTCTCTCTCTGCTCGCCACCCCTGTCTCAGGTGTTTTCCCTCTTCTCTCTGCCACCTGACACTACACTGTAACCTGCTGCCTTTGAGCTCACTGCCAGGAGAGTCCGGTGTGGTTCCAGCACTGCCGGGACGCACCGCCCACACCTGGGCTCACGTGTCCTGAGTCACCCTGACATCGAGGCTGGGGTCCTCTGGCGTTCACCAATCGGGATGGGCCCCCCTGGCCCCAGGGACCTCCTACAAGGCCTGCCTGTGGCCCCCTGTCTGCCCAGCACCCTGGGACCCTCTTCCTTGTGGGTGGCCCCTCGTGGGTCCTGCCCGTGCTGAAGTGCTGGGCCTTCTCCCCGTTGCTCTCTCCTGTCTGCCGGACACACCCCAGGTCTGTGGACCCCCCACCTTCCCCAGCTTCTCTTCTTTTGTGGCTGGAATTCGGTACCTCACCCGTCACCCCCAAGATGCTCCACCTGCCCTGTGTTTGGGCTCCACTCACCTGCACAGCTGAGACAGACATGGCATGACAGGGTGGGCTCAGAGGGGCTGGGACTGCCGCACTGGGGCAGCTGTGGTGGGAGCCGGGCCTGGACTCACCGGGTCCTCGCTGGCCCACGGGGGTCCTGTCGTGGCCTCAACTGGCTTTGCCCCTGGAGTGGCCCCTCACCGAGATGGGGACTCTGGAGCTTGGGGTCAGTAATGTCCTGAAAGCTCTAGTAGGAACCTATGGTAGGGAGCCTGGCCTGGGGCTTTCCCCACCAAACACTGCATCCTGCCCCCGAAATGGATGCACGGCCTTTTCTCACTCTCCAAGGTGACCCCCCAATGTGCTGCAAGTGCTGCCAAGGCACCTCCCGGCGGCCCCTCGGCCCTTTGCCCTCCCCACAGCATTACGGGAAGAAGGTGGGAAGGCACCTCCCTGCCCTGAAAGGGCCCCCTTGCTCCTCTGTCCAGCATGCTCGCAACCCAGGAGGCTGGGCGAGGACTCTCACTGCAGGGTCTGCCCCCAGCTCCCGGAGGCCGAGGCAGCCTGCACCCTGGCCCCCATGGCCCTCAGTGCTTTTGAGCATGACGTGGGTATGTCAGCGCCGGACCCCCAGTTGGGAC